CCAGATCCCCTAGCACTATATCACGGTCCCCTTCCTCATTTAGAAGACCCTGAAAGTACATCTTCCATCACTGTTTAATATGGGACTCCCCCATCAAGACTCTACCGTCCTCGTCTTTGATGCACCTCACTTGATCTAGATCCTGAGCCTTCCTCTCCCTTGCTTTAGACAATCGAAACAATTTCTTATCCCCACCTTTTTCCCCCAGCTCCTCATATAGTCCTCAATCAGGACTATGTCATCAGCGAATTAACATACACCATGGCACTTCTCCTTGAATATGGTGTGTTAGTGCATCCATTACTAAGGCAAATAATAACGGGCTAAGCGTTGATCCTTGGTATAACCCCATAATAACCGGGAAATGCTTTGAGTCTCCTCCCACAGTCCTTACCCTAGTGTTACCTCCATCATATATGTCCTTGATCGCTCTAACATAAGCTACCGACACACCTTTTACCTCCAGACATCTCCATAGCACCTCCCTAGGGACCTTGTCATGCGCTTTCTCCAAGTCAATAAACACCATGTGTAGATCTTTCTTTCTATCCTTGTACTGTACCACCAACCTCCTAATAAGGTGGATAGCTTCCGTGGTCGAGCGATCCGGCATGAACCCGAACTGGTTGTCAGATATAGACACTATCTTCCTCACCCTCGCCTACACCACCCTCTCCCAAACTTTCATGGTATAACTTAGTAACTTGATACCCCTATAGTTCTTACAACACTGAATATCACCTTTGTTCTTGTACAACGGAACCACTGTACTCCACCTCCACTCATCTGGCATCCTCTTCGTCCTGAAAACAACATTAAACAACCCAGTTAGCCACTCCAAGCCTGCTCTACCCACATACTTCTAGAACTCAACCTGAATTTCATCTGGCCCGGTTGCTTTGGCTCGACTCATCTTACGTATAGCCTCCACGACCTCCTCCAACTTAATACGCCTACAATACCCAAAGTCTCGGAGACTCTCCGAATGCCCCAGATCCCCTAGCACTATATCACGGTCCCCTTCCTTATGTAGAAGACCCTGAAAGTACATCTTCCATCACTGTTTAATCTGGGACTCCCCCATCAAGACTCTACCGTCCTCGTCTTTGATTCACCTCACTTGATCTAGATCCTGAGCCTTCCTTTCCCTCGCTTTAGACAATCGAAACAATTTCTTATCCCCACCTTTTTCCCCCAGCTCCTCATATAGTCGGCCAAAAGCTGTATTCTTAGCCTTCGTGACCGCTAGCTTAGCCTCCTTTCTTGCTACCTTGTACCTCTCTCTATTCGCTCTCCTTTCCTCCTCGCATGTGCTCCTTACCAACTTCATACACGCTTCCTTCTTCGTCTCCACTTTGCCTTGGACTATGTTATTCCACCACCAGTCGCCTTGGTGCCTGCCAGAGTGACCCTTCAAAATCCCTAGCACCTCTCTCGTTGCCTCCCTAATGCGGTTCGCCGTTGTAGCCCACATAGCACTGGCGTCCTCACTACTCCTCCATGCTCCCATAGCCAATAACCTCCCCTCCAACTCCTGGGCTTTATCCTTAGTTAAGACTCCCCACCTAATCCTTGGTTGACCTCGAGCATACCTCTTCTTCTTCCTTATCGTAATACCGACGTCCATTACCAAGAGCCTATGCTGGGTCGCGAGGGTCTCTCCCGGGATAACCTAATCCTTGCACTACCCTCTATCACACCTTCTGAGGAGGAGGTAATCAATCTGAGTTTTCACAATCAATCTTCGGAAAGTTACTAGATGCTTCTCCCTCTTCGGAAAACTCGAGTTCGCAATCACCAGCTCGAAAGCCTTAGCGAAATCCAACAGCGAAGAACCTCCTCCGTTCCTATCCCCAAAGTCGAAGCCACCATGCACCTCGCCATAGTCACCAGCAACTGACCCAATGAGGCCATTGAAATCCCCTCCTATAAATAGCCTCTCAGCGGGTGGAATACTACGCACAACCTCGTCCAAACTCTCCCAGAAGCGTCTTTTAACCTCCTCATCCAAGCCCGCTTGCGGCGCGTAAGCGCTAACGACATTGAGGGTGGACTCACCAATCACCAAATTAATAAACATTAGTCTGTCATGCACCCGCCTAACCTCAACCACCGACTCTCTAAGGTCCCTATACATCAAGATACCCACTACATTCTTACCCTTTACGACTCCAGAGTACCACAGCTTATACCCGTCCACATTTCTCGCCTTCGACCCTACCCACCTTGTTTCCTGGACACAAGCTATATTTACTCTTCTCTTCTGG